CAATAGATCGGCTTCGACATCAGGGAATAGGCCCCGGACAGGGTCTAGCCATCCGGGCCCATAGAGCTGCCCAGGCTCTAGAAGCACGAGGCAGACAGACAACAATCCAATGGGCCCCTGGGCACCATGGCATTGAGGGGAATGAGAGGGCAGACCAAGCGGCTAAGCGGGCGGCAGCAAAGACCCTCCGGGGAGGACCTAGTGAGCTCTCTATAGCCTATATCAATAGGGCTCGTACCGAAGCAATCAGGGCTCGTAAGCAGCAATGGCTGACTAGAGCACTAGGCCACAGAACCCTGGATGCCCAGAGGGCATATAGGGCCCAACCAGGATGGAAACCGGATCCAGTAGCAGCCGCCGCTCCTAAGAAAATTGCCAGTCGGTACTACCAGCTCAAAACTGGTCACGCAGCTATAGGGACCTATCTGCAGAAGATCCAGGTACGAGACTCAGAGGCATGCCAGGGGTGCCAGGCCCCAAAAGAGTCTGTCTACCACCTCCTATTTGAATGTAGAGAGTGGCGGAAGCAGCGAAGGGCCCTCTATAGGGCCCTAACCAAGGCTAGGGTGGCTTTGCCAACGATGGCTGAGGATCACCCAGAGGGAAGGCTACTAGGAGATCCTAAGGCCACCAAGGCCATCCTGCAGTTCCTAGCAGACACAACGGTTGGATGCCCCTTAGGGGAAGCAGCTCGAGCAGCCGAGAGGACACGGAAGGATGATGAATGGGGGCTGGCAGCCCTAGAGGAGGCAGAACGTGAGGGAGAAGGATAATAGGGGAGGGTGGCCTGCAGTAGGCAGGCGACACCCATACTGACACTGGCAACAAGGAGGGCTTATAAAGGCCCAAAAGCCCTACGCAACTAGGCGGCCTGGGGCGAGGAAAAGGTTCAGAATGGCCAAAGATGGGATTAGGGACTAATAGGGGCTTCTGCCCAAGAATCGGGGTCTGTCATAGCCGAAAGGCTCGGTATGGACGTTAAACCTGATTATAATAATAATAATAATAACAAGACGATGATCGACGGGCTAACCTTATTTTTCATTCGTGGAGACAGAGTCGAGACCGCGGAGATCTTCCATTGAGGACGCTGGACCTGCGAGCAAGGCAGCTTTCTCGACTTCTATTCGCCGTATGCTGATTCTGGGTTTCATCGGCGTGGTAAGCTTATTTCTCTTGTCTGGAGATTGCATAATATATTCCCGAAATTCGGCAATGGTGCTGCGTCTGGGAGGCAGGGTACCCCGCCTTTTGTTCTGCTGCCCAGTAATTAATCCCTGACAAGCCCTCTCCATTGTATTAGCTTCTTTCAGGTACTATGTCTGACGCAAGCTCAGTCCAAAGTAATTCGCTCCCTCCGACATGGGCCTGTTACTATGGACGGGATAGCCCGTATAATATTAATCAGCGCTACTCCTTCCCGAAATGGAAGCGAATATACAATCATTATTCCAGTCTCCCTGTCACATGTTGGATTTCACATCATTTAATCGCCTCGAATCAATATTCTAGCAAGCATTGAGTTCTGATTCTGTTCTGTCAATTGTGTCTCTCCTATTGAAACGCGACCAGTAATATGATTGGTCCGGCATTCTGTCCGACAGCGTCGCGTTTCCCGCCAATCACAGTGAAGCAGTCAGCTGAGGTCTCCCCTTCTCCGCAGAATACAGAGTAGACAGCACAGCACGATATGAAAACTCGTGATGGTGTTCTTTTTCTCTTTTTCTTTGGAAGGTTACAGAATGGAATATCTGCAGAAATAAAGAAATGAGGACCGGGAAGCACATGATGGATGGTTGACTGGTGCGTCTGGTCATCTGGTCAAAATATATATAACGGAAGGGCTCACGATCACTCAGTTCCAAGCCCTTATCTGCTCTCACAACAACACTACAAATCAACGTCATTTTATCAGTCAATATTATTTACCCCTGATTCCACAGTTCAGTCGGTTGAGGATTTGGCGATGGCTGCTCGACACGATCGGCGACCGTGCCGGCGCACGCTAAGCGGAGCGCATCGGCATCACAGCCGAAGCGGAAGCGCAGGCCAATTGATGAGCAACGAAGAAAGCGTTTAAGAGGTGAATAACCACGCCTTCTCTGCTGGACAGACCTTGTCGAGGTATTGTCCTGGGAAGAATTCTCTACAAGAAGAATCTCTGTGGATAGAATCATGCTCGACGGCGCTGAGGTCGCAAAGCACAACACCCGCGAGTCGTGTTGGGTCATTGTCAACGGCCACGCGTACGATGTGACGGATTTCCTGGACAAGCATCCCGGCGGTGCGACTGTTATCTTGAAATATGGCGGGAAGGTGCGTCCGGACCGGAATGCTTGGCTGTCTCGAAATTAAACAACGACAGGATGCGACGGAGGAGTATAACGCGATCCACGCGGAGGGCACGATTGAGAAGTATTTGCCTAAAGGTATGTCCTGATTTGTATCACTCGCAGATCTTGCTGTTGATATGTTAAATTAGAGAAGCATCTCGGGGTAGTGGATCCGGCGACCATCGCTGTGAATCCTAAACCCAAAGCTCAGCAGGTCAAATCTTCGGACCCCATCCCCCTTTCCATGTGCCTTTGTCTAGACGACTTCGAAGCTGCGGCAGAAAGAGTCATCAATCGCAGGGCATGGACGTACTTCCACTCCGCCGCAGACGGACTCAGCGCTCTGCGAAACAACCAGCAGGACTGGGCCAAGGTCCTGCTTCGACCGCGCATTCTGCGCAACGTCAAGCGAGTCGACATGCGCCGGGTGATGCTGGGCCAGAAGAGCCGGCTGCCGTTCTTCATCGCCCCTGCTGCACGGGCAAAGCTGGCGCACGAAGACGGCGAGCTGTGTCTCGCCAGAGGAGCGGCGCGCGCAGGCATCCCGTACTGCACGAGCACCGTGTCGACCGTGTCGCACGACGAGCTCGCTGCGTGTCTGCAGGCCGAAAAGGTGTACAAAGACGAGGGCTGTCTCTTCTTCCAGCTGTACGCCGCGAATGACCGGCGCGTGACGATCGACCGGATCGAGACGGCGCGGAGGTTGGGCTACAAGGCCTTGGTGATCACGGTCGATTCTGCGGTGGTGGGCAAACGCGAAGAGGATGAACGGTACCGCGCGGAGTTGGACTATCTGAACGGCAACGAGGTTGACCCAGCTGCGTACGTCAAAGTTGCCGATGACGAGCCTCCCGTGCTGCGGGCGTTCCACAGCCCGACCCTGACGTGGGACGACTTGAAGTGGATCCGCGAGTTGTGGGGGAACTCTGGGCCCGTTGCTCTCAAGGGCATCCAGACGGTGGAAGACGCGTTGCTAGCGGCAGAAGCTGGGGTCGACGCTATATATCTGAGCAACCACGGCGGGCGTCAGTGCGATGACGCGCCCAGCTCGATCCGCACGTTGGTCGAGATACGAAGATTCGCGCCTGAGCTGCTGCAGAAAGTGGAGATCTACCTCGACGGCTGGGTGCGACGAGGCGCGGACGTGATCAAAGCGTTGTGTCTGGGGGCCAGGGGCGTAGCGCTGGGGAGGCCGTTCATGTATGCGCTGGGAGCGCACGGGACGGCAGGAGTTGAGAAGGCGATACGGAGTAGGATCCCATTAGTCTCATATTCTAGGGATGAGCTAACATGATTTACTATTTCTCTTCAGTCCTGAGCGAGGAGATCGAGACGACCATGCGATTGATCGGCGTCACGAGCCTCGACCAGCTGAACCCAAGCTATGTCGACACTACGATTCTAGAGAGGGACATTCCTCAGCGGCTGCCGTCTGTAGAGGCTGAGCTGCGGTTAAGGAGCAAGTTGTGATGATGATTGTTACTGATAGAGATGCCTGATGAAGGTATTTATAATTGGCATTTAGAACTAGATGGTTACGAATATAGTATATACATGCCTCAAGCAAGCTGCGGGACATCCCACGTAACCCAGTCATCGACATTAAACGTGATATTGGCATAGTCCTTCTGAATTGACGTATTGGCCGGCTGGTCGAGCAGAAACTTGTTGATAAATGCAAACAACTCTGGCTGCTGGTAGTCCGGGAAGACGCAGTGAGAATGATTCGCGGACATGGAGAAGCCCATATTGTCTGGAACGCCCAGGGCCACCCATATCTTTTGGGCGACTGTCATGCAACCCCAGCAACTCCACGGCCCCAGCCATTGATATCCCGAGTTGTCGATGACGAACAGCGCGCGCGGGGCGATCAGCCCGGCCAGCATGTGGTGGTCAAAGGGGAGCAGCGTCGTCTGGTTCGAAAAGGCGTTGAATGCAGTCGAGAACCAGACATTCTCCGTGACGATTTCGCTAGCTGTCTGCACCAGCTGAGGAGCGCCTTCTTCTGCGTCGGAGAGACGCCAACACGCGGAGCCGCCCGAGCCAGACTCTTGAGGGATCGTGAGCGCAATGCGCGAGTCATAGGCCCCTGCGACGAGAGCGCCTTTGCCGTTTCGCGAGCAGCCTGTGATGCCAATCTTGGTGACGTCGATATTGGCCTCTGGCGTCACTTCTAGCCTGTCGATGACCAAGGACGTCGCCCATGCCCACGCGATCAGAGCTCCCGCAGCGGCATTCTTGCCGTACAGCTGGTAGAAGAGGCCCAAGCCGCGACTGGCCGTGCTGTCCTGCTGCGCAATGGCACTGTTGTCGAGGACGATCGCAGCAACACCGGACGGAAGCGGAATGCTGAGACCGCCGTAGGCAATAATCGCAGGGAACGGACCCGTGCCGGACGAAGGATACTGTATCGCGACGCTGAGGGAGATATTCTCGTCTCCCTCGGTGGCGTTGATGGTCAACGTCCCCGTCGTGCCACCAGACGTAAATGACGAAGTGACCTTGGACGGAGCAGGAGGTTTTGTGCCCAGCTCGAGCTCCTGCAACAGGGTGCTGACTTCGTCTTGACGGCACTGCCATTCCGCGAGATTGCTGACGCGGCCGTCGCTCGCGGCGGGATACCAGGAGAAGGGGTCTGGTAGTTTTGGGATTTGCGTCAGGGTAGGATTGCTGGGGAGCGTAGGACAGGGTGCTGGGTAGCAGATATATCGTTAATGGAGAGTTCACTGGAAGATGGATATTTGATACGAACCTGGATCAGGGATCGCAGCGCTAAGGGCAGCGGTGCTGAAAAGAAGTGCTGGAAGGAGACTGTCGAGGATCATTGTGGATCAATCGCACCAAAGTCTGATGACAGACAATTTCCTTGCATCTAGAAAGCATATCTGGCAGACACCTCACTACCTGCCATACTCTCATATAAATACAGATTAGATCAGATCTCATTGTGGCGTATTAACATTGATCTTCCGCCAAAAAGCAGTGTGATTTGCCTGAATTGGGGATATATAAACATATCCGTATCTCCTTCATTTCTACCTTCTCACTGATTGGCCAGGCTAAAACCAAGCAGGAGAATGAACCTATCAACAGTAGGAAGAAAACAGACACTTGTCCAGATCATCTCTAGGGTTCCGGGGAAATTACCGTAGAATAAAAACATGGGGTGCATCATCAATCTATCTGCACAGACAGCACTTTAGGCTAAATCGTGAAGCAGCGCATCTCCGCATCTCCGCAAGAGAAGTAATAAATAAATAAATTGCGGTGTACTGTACTGTACACGCATATGCAACGATAACATACTACTAATAAGTTTTGTTGTTCCTGGATTTATGCTAGTAAATAGCCGGGGTTTTTATTTGTATGACGTTTTGGCTCTTGATGTATTCTCTCATCATTTTGTCAACATGGCCTGATGACTAGATGGAATCTTGAGACTGCATATTCTGTGTCGATTACGATGGTGCTGGTCTGGTATTGATGGTGTGACTTTGTTAAAATAAATATATCGTGTTTTGCAAGGCCTTTCAGCTTGGATACTGTCTCTATGTCTCTTAGTCCCTCCTCTTCTCTTTTTTTTTTTTTGTCGTTTTTTTTTCTCCAGAAAAGTCAATACGGATAGTATTACAGATCGTGCGATTGCTAGAGTAGTCGACTAGTAGCTCTTGGCTATAGGCATATCCCAGAGAAGTTCATCACTGTCATACAGTCCTGTCCACCTCAACGACCTGATTTGGATCTCCAGTGCGATACAACTGTTACAACTGTTTAGCGAATTTTTTTTTGACTTCCTACTGAGGTAGTCAATACAAAGGCTAGAGAACAAAGCGTGGTGTCATATCATTCAACTTGCCGTAGTGATGTGTATTATTATCTACATTTAAATAATCAGCGTCAAGTTATATGCTTTTGGTCATTCATTCTTATGGTCAACAGCTCGTCTGTCTTGTCTTGGCCTCCGTCAGTAGTGCATGGGGAGGGCTGGTTCTAATGGATCGATCTAGGCACTGTTGATTTCTAAGACCGCTTCCTGCCTCGGTGATTGAGGACTTCTAGCACCCGCGGGCAAATGGAGATCTACAGCGGCTAGCCAAGTAGACGGGTTGAAACGGGATGTTGAATGTTTAGATCGGCGTCACATTCTTTGGACTGACTAGCCATGCTAGTAGGAGCAATTTTCTATTTCTATTGTTATTTCGATAAAAGTATGCGGGATCAAGTTACAGTAGCACCAGGAGCACGCATTCTGGGCGTGGTCACTGGACACATTCCTCATCTAGATATCTCTAAGAAACTTGTGTGACCTGACTGTCTGACTGTAAAGAGAGAATGAGATGAGCAGCATACGCTGATGTTGCGTGGGATGGAAATGGCTATCAATCAGATAATCTCCCCGGATGAGCTCAGCGAGGCCTCTGCAGATGAGCCCAACGCTAGTACGAAGCTAAGTCCGCTAAAAATAAGATCACTGGATCCCAAATTCGAGTGGTGGCTGGACACGGTCCAACAGTCAATCAGAAGGGCGCCCTGGATCAGATATGATTTCTTCGTGCTTCCATCACTTTTAGACTATTCCTCCGTCGGCCTGTTTTCTCGCACCGCATGACACACACAGCCGACGAATCGTCTCGCGCGAGATTACTATTACGGACTGCCATACGGAGCAGACTACTCGAGACGACGAGCTAATGAGGCGAATGACAATCGGGGTTGATAATCAGCATCGCCCGTCCGCTGATTAGGCATCGTGCGGATTACCAAGCAGCTCGGCCTCGACCATCGCGCACACAGCGAGACCGTCAACACTCGCGCTGATCGTCAGCATCATCTCCACCTTTGCTGTAAGTGTTTTTCCGCTCACCTTCTTGATCTTACGTGCGTTTCGTTTACTGACATCAGCCAAGCAGACACCCACCATCCCAACCCCTCCCTATCCAAGCAGGGCCAGACCGTAGTCGAGTCGAAGCGACGACTCTGATCATCGATGACAGCGATTCTCCTTGGCGTCGACCGTCCAATTGATACTGCGGAGTGAGGTCTTGCATGCCGTCAATCGCCTTCTTAGCTGCCCGGGTCCCTGCCTCCATCCCGTCTTGGCTGTGCGACCGCCTGGGATGGTAAACGCTCCGGACTCGGATCAGGTTGTCCATCAATGCTGCCGGTGACGCCCCACTGAGCGAGCATCACTGACTGGCGCGATGGTCGTTAGTAACGAGGCAGCCGGCTCCTGTCGGTGGCCGCAAGTGGTGATGGTCTCCTGTCGGCATCTGGTGGACTGGGATTCTGGGACCAGATGAGTGAATAATCAATGGAGATGTGCCCAGGAGCTGCCATCTCTGTATGGCTCGTTGATCCGGTCGACGTCTCAATCCAGATTGCGTTTCTCCGCAGCGCAGGTCGTCCAGTGAGCTGCGTCGAGTTCCGGATTACGCCCGACGGCCGCATATAAAGGACGTGCCTTCCTCGCCAGGATGCCTCCGTCCCCTTGCAAGGCTTCTGGTCAATTGCCTCGAACTCTCTCTGGCGATTCCTACGCATGAGAGCCACCAAGATGCGCGCTGTGCAACTTCTGCCCAGCCTCGCCGGCCTGATTGGCGCTGCCTCTGCTGTCGGATGTCCGTATCTGACGGGCCAGCTCGATGGCAGAGAGGTGCACAATCCGCACGAGTTCCAGCGTCGACAGGATTCCGGAGATGCGGCAGCGTCCACGGAGCAGTTCCTGTCCCAGTTCTATCTCAATGACAACAACAGCTACATGACCACCGATGTTGGCGGCCCTATCTCGGATCAGAACAGTTTGAGGGCGGGAGAGCGCGGTCCAACCCTGCTGGAAGACTTCATCTTCCGCCAGAAGATCCAACACTTCGATCACGAGCGGGTAGGTTATACCATCATGCGAGAGACATCAATCGATGTTGACGTAGTGGCAGGTCCCAGAACGCGCTGTCCATGCTCGAGGAGCGGGCGCCCACGGAACGTTCACTTCCTACGGAAACTGGTCCAACATTACTGCGGCCTCCTTCCTCAGCGCAGAAGGGAAAGAGACCCCCGTGTTTGTGCGCTTCTCGACCGTGGCCGGAAGTCGAGGCAGTTCGGACACGGCGCGCGATGTGCACGGGTTTGCCACCAGGTTCTACACTGACGAGGGCAACTTTGGTACGTCGTCTCACAATCCTCGACTGGCATCGTCTGACGGTTGAGCAGATATTGTGGGCAACAATATTCCAGTCTTCTTCATCCAGGACGCCATTCTCTTCCCTGACCTGATCCATGCCGTCAAACCCAGCCCCGAGAACGAGATCCCCCAGGCAGCGACAGCTCATGACTCGGCCTGGGACTTCTTCAGCCAGCAGCCCAGTGCGTTGCACACGGTCTTCTGGGCCATGTCCGGCCACGGCATCCCTCGCTCTTTTCGCCATATGGACGGCTTTGGCGTCCACACTTTCCGATTTGTGACCGACGACGGATCGTCCAAGCTGGTCAAGTTCCACTGGACCTCACTGCAGGGCCGGGCCGGCCTGGTCTGGGAGGAGGCGCAAGCGGCAGCTGGGAAGAACCTGGACTATATGCGCCAGGATCTGTATGACAACATCGAAGCCGGTCGTTACCCCGAATGGGAGGTAGGTGGCCGTATTTTCTCGGCATATCTATCTGCGATCATGCTAACGTCCCTAGCTGGGCGTGCAAATTGTCGATGAGGAGGATCAGCTCAAGTTTGGATTTGATCTGCTGGATCCAACCAAGATCCTTCCTGTCGAATATGTCCCCATCACGCCGCTTGGGAAGCTACAGCTTAACCGTAATCCGCTCAACTATTTCGCCGAGACGGAGCAAATAATGGTACGTAAACACTTGGTTCGATCATCTGCAAGTAGACTAACAACTGTAGTTCCAACCCGGCCATATCGTGCGCGGAATCGACTTCACCGAAGATCCCCTTCTGCAGGGACGGCTCTTCTCCTATCTCGACACGCAATTGAACCGGAATGGAGGCCCCAATTTTGAGCAGCTCCCCATCAACCGTCCTCGGGTGCCATTCCATAACAACAACCGTGACGGAGCCAGTAAGTTCCCTTCTCTGCCGACTGGCCGACTGGGCTCTCTGAGACCGCGTTCTAATCCCACCAGGCCAAGCGTTTATCCCCCTGAACAAGGCGGCCTATAGCCCGAACACGCTCAACAACGGCAACCCCAAGCAGGCGAACCAGACCGTGGGCGATGGCTTCTTCACCACTCCTGGACGCACAGCAAGTGGCCGGCTCTTGCGCGCTGTCAGTTCGACCTTTTCCGACGTCTGGTCACAGCCACGGCTGTTCTACAACTCGCTGGTGCCGGCAGAGCAGCAGTTCCTCATCAACGCCATCCGTTTCGAGAACTCCAACGTCAAGAGCGAGGTGGTCCGGAAGAATGTCATCACCCAGCTCAACCGTGTCGACAACGACCTCGCCCGCCGGGTTGCCCGGGCCATTGGCGTTGAAGAGCCCGAGCCCGATCCCACGTACTATCACAACAACAAGACGGCCAACGTGGGTACCTTTGGCACGCCGCTCAAGCGGATCGACGGTCTCAAAGTCGGTGTCCTTGCCACTGTTGGCGACCCAGACAGCATCAGCCAGGGCCAGAGTCTCAGCGACACGCTCTCGGACTCTAATGTCGTTGTCACCGTTGTTGCCGAGTCTTTCACGGACGGAGTCGATGCGCTCTACACCAACTCGGACGCGACCAACTTCGACGCCGTTATCGTGGCCGACGGTGCCGAAGGACTCTTCGCTCCGAGCAGCTTCACAGCCCAGCCGACGAACTCGTCCTCGACGGCATCGCTTTATCCTGCCGGTCGTCCGCTGCAGATTCTGGTCGACGCCTTCCGATTTGGCAAGCCGGTCGGCGCGCTGGGCAGCGGATCTAAGGCGCTTGACGCAGCAGGTATCTCGAAGAGCCGACCGGGTGTGTACGTTGCCAACTCGATCAGCGAGGCGTTTACCGACGCTATCGAGGATGGTTTGCGGACGTTCAAGTTCCTCGACCGGTTTGCGCTGGATGAGTAAGTTTGCATAGTAGGGAAGTTGGAATACAAAGGCCGAGCTGGACGACATTGTCGACTCCGCTAGGCTGCAATGGCTACCTTTTGTTTTCTTCTGTACGTATTTCACTCGTGCTATTATTTTTATTCAGCCTGTGCTTTCTAGCACGTTCCTTGGCGAGGCTTTAATCGATATTCCATGTACCATAGCAGGTACAATAATCGTACAATCAAGAATGGATCATTCCAGCAGTGTTGTAATCTGAAAAGAGTGTGTCAAACCAACGATTTACTATGTTCAGACGACGCAAGATCCCTCTCTGGGCTTATCCATACGCAACTAATATGGTTGTAGGCCTTATGTTTTCATCTTCGTGCAGTGGGAAAGATGGTTCCCTGCCCAATACTGTGCGCAGGACTGCCAATAGAAGCCTGGAAGCATAATGTGGGGGTTCATACCCTGGCAGTTGGGGTAATTAAGCACTATATGGACTTTGGAACTTGCATAGGAATCACTCCAGTGCACTCCTGCCAGACTATCCCCAGCTATCCTGTCAATTACCCCCGGACCCCACATGGATATGCAGGTGGAGGAGCTGCAATGCAGTGAGCGTCTGCTAGGTGACGGACGCGAGCATCGGTGCTGTCGTTATATAAGGAGCAGTCGTATATGAGTCTACAACACTGTTCCAGAATCAGCTCAGTGATTTCACAAAATCAACTAACTACAGGATGGACACGACCTCAAAACCCCCCGTCGCATCGACCGACTTCCCCATCCGATACGACGATCCAACCTATCAACACGTCCATCGCACACTCTTATCTGGCTCGTTGCTCCGTCCCTTGGAGCCGGTTCTACCGCAGGGCATGAGCCAGGATGACCTTGACGCAGCTCTCGGCCAGTTCGTCGGCGTCGTGGGCAAGGACGGTGTATTTGTCGGGAAGGCGCTGGAGGACTATGTCGATCCGTACAAGCTGTGGGAGGTCGAGGGGAAGAGGAGGGTTCCGAGTGCTGCTGTCTGGTTGGTTAACATTAACGTCCAAACTCGTTGTATGGGATCTGTCATTCTGATATGTTTTTCTTTCTAGTCCCCGTTCGGTGGAAGAGCTGCTGGGCGTCCTGCAAGTAGCGAACAAGTTCCAAATCCCTGTGTGGACGTTTTCGCGCGGTAAAAACCTGGGGTTGCTGTCACTGCTCTCCCGTATACTTATCTTTTGATATGGAATGCTGAGACAGATGCAGGTATGGCGGACCAGCACCGCGTCTGACCGGCTCCATCGCTCTGGACCTGCACCGCATGGACAGGGTCATCGAGGTCCACGATCAGTATGCGTATGCGGTCATCAAGCCCGGAGTGACGTTCACCGATCTATACAACTACTGTGCTCGAAACAAGCTACGCGTGTGGCCGAGCGTGCCATCTCTGAGATGGGGGAGCGTCGTAGGGAATGTAAGAGGTTCAGCCAGAGATGCGAATTATATTTGTTGATATTTATTTCTGCAGACTCTCGACCGAGGCACCGGATTCACTCCCACCGCCACTCACCACCAACACATCTGCGGACTGGAAGTCATGCTGGCAGATGGCGACATTGTCCGGACAGGCCAATTCGCCATCTCTAATTCCCCCTCATCGCATCTCTCCAAGTTCACGTTTGGTCCGTCTATCGAAGGCCTCTTCCTGCAGAGCAATCTGGGGATCGTGACCAAACTGGGCATCTGGCTGCATCCGCAGCCGCAGGCCTACATGTCCTGTCTGTTCGACATGCCGGATCTGGAGGACATCGAGACGCTGGTCGACATCTTCGGCGAGCTGCGACGGAACGGCGTCCTGCCAAACACCGTGTATGTGTCCAACATCGTCGTAGTGGCTCGCCATGATGGGCAAGCGCGACGAGCTGTGGACGGGGCAGGGAGCCATCCCGATGTGGCGGATCCGCGAACTGCAGACGCAGCTGGACATGGGGTACTGGTCTGCCAAGTTTGGGCTGTACGGACCCAAGGACGTCATCCAGGCTCATTACGACGAGCTGAAACGGATCGTCGCTGAGAAAGCGCCCCGAGGCCGTCTGCGGGGGGAGATGTTTGCGGGCGAGAACGGCCAGCTCCTCGACGCGACGGCCGTTCCAGAGCCCCATGGATGCTTCTTCGTCGGCATCCCCAGTCTATGGAGTCTTCCGATGGTGCGGTATCGCCTGCCAAAAGACGGCACCGGCATTGGCGCGCACACCGACTACTCAGCCATCATCCCGTCGTCCGGGAAGACGCTGCTCGACTGGGTGCAGACAGCGAAGAAGGTCTGCGAGGCGGAGGCCTTCGACCTGCTCTGCGACTTCTTCATGCACGAGCGGCACGTCATCTTCGTGAACATGATGGCGTTCGACAAGAGCGATGCGAGGCAGCGAGAGGCGGTCAATCGGATCTTCCATGGGCTGTTCCGCGAGGGGAAGAAGAGGGGGTTTAGCAACTATCGGGCGCATATCGATCATATGGGTTTGTTATATAACCACACAGTGTGATGTGATATTTTGTTCACTGAGCTGACGGTTGTAGATCTTGTGGCTGAGCTGTACGATTTCAATGACCACGCTTATCAGAGGTTTGTGGAGAGGATCAAGGTATGTGGGTCTGCTGTCTGTTTCAAGCAATGGCTTTATCTTACATGCAGTGATTGATTCCGTTAATGTCTAGGATACGCTCGGTCTGAACGGCATCTTGTCGCCCGGGAAGCAGGGGATCTGGCCGCGAAAATATAGAGACGCAGCGAGAGCGAAGGCGCTACTGTAGCCAGATAGGTAAAGCAATCACCTAATGTTTGTCGCCTTGTTCTTGCTTTTCGTTTCATATAGAACTGATGATTTAATTGGAAGATGTCTCGGTGATGAAATGCGTTTATCGTTTCGGTAGTACTCCGTGTTCAATATTATTACAATCATACACCTAGCTTTCTGCCAGATGAATCTTTCCCTCCACATCGTAGAAAATCTCCCTCATCTTGACAGACCGCAAGTGATCAACACCCCCCGACAGCGAGCAATCGTGGTAGAACAGATACCACTTGCCCTGAAATTCCGCAATAGAATGATGCGTCGTCCACCCCAGCACCGGCTCCAGGATACGCCCCTGGTAGGTAAACGGTCCCCAAGGGCTGTCCCCCGTCGCGTAGACGAGATAGTGCGTGTCGCCCGTGGAATACGAGAAGTAGTACTTGCCGTTGTACTTGTGCATCCAGGCCGCTTCGAAGAACCGCCGGTCATGGTCGTCGGCAGCGAGAGGCCTGCCGTCCTCGTCCAAAATGCGAAGTTCCTTGACAGGAGACGCAAACGACAGCATGTCGTCGCTCAGCTGCGCGACTCGCGGGAACAGCGCCGGCACCTCCTTCCCTGCAGGCTCTTGGGGCCCTGTCTTGGACGCGTCGAATTTGCCTGTTGTCCAGCACTGCAACTGCCCGCCCCAGATCCCGCCAAAGTAGAGATAGGCCTTGCCGTCGTCATCAACAAACGCAGCGGGATCGATACTGTAGCTGCCAGGAATAGGCTTCGGCTGGGGGCGAAACGGCCCATACGGGACGTCACTGACGGCGACGCCGATGCGAAAGATCCCCCGCTTGTCCCTCGCAGGGAAGTACAGGTAGTATTTCCCATCCTTGGCCGCGGCGTCGGGCGCCCACAGCTGCTTCGACGCCCAGGGCACGTCGTCCAGCATCAGGGCGACGCCGTGGTCGGTGACGGGCCCGCCGACGCGCTCGAGCGACAGCACGTGGTAGTCGACCATGTCGTACTGGTCGCCGTTGTCGTTGAAGGCGATGTCCGTCTCGCGGTCGTGCGAGGGGTAGATGTAGAGTTTGCCGTCGAAGACGTGCGCCGAGGGGTCGGCCGTGTAGATGTGTGTTACGAGGGGGGTGTCTGGCATGATGATGGCCTAGGTAGGGAGATGTATACGATTTTGCTGGATGAAAGTAGGTATGTAGGTAGTCAGTCAGTCAGGAAGAGTGTGAGCGTTTAACAGGTGTTCTCAAACATGTTATCCATAAATTAAGCAGCTATCTTAGATTGAGCTATTCTTATTAGATGTTTTCTGGAGGAGGTTAATAGTAACTGTTTTAGCCGGAATAGCCTAAGTTGGGAATAACGCACAGCCCAGTACGCTCGAGTTCTCGTGATTTTTGACTTCCAGCGAAGTAATTGATTAATTAACTAAATTAATTGGTTGTGCCCAGCCTGCTGTATGTAACACCCCGCAAATGTGGCGGCTAATCGATTAATTGATGAGATTGGCGTGGCATAAGCAAAAAAAAAAGATTCGAGATGGTACGCAATTATTGTGAAGTCTCTCGCTGTCCTCTGATAGAGAGCGATAAAGAAAGGCAATACTTGCGCAGATGAAGTCTAGTTAACCTGGGTTTTCTATGCAAGAGGAAACCCGGTCATTAATTTTATTTGTTTACAGTATCCGCTGCGTTTGTATGTTTGTTTGTTGTTCTGCACGAATAGCTTGTTTCAAAGTGAAATTACACTCTGCATAGGTACTAAAGGTGTAAAACAAAATAAATAATAAATCAAGAATTTATTTCAGAAGAAGAATCTAAATTCTTTTTTCTACTTCTAGAATTTATGGAAAGTCTCGTTTTCCGCGTTCGACTAGGTAATATTACTCAGTTCTATCTGATTTTCGTAATATATATATTTACACATACAGGTACTCTGTCGACTCTTTGTGTTGGAGCAAAGATTTTTTTTTCTAAAAACGAACGAGGAGGAAAGAGGAATAAATCTTAGATAGAAAGTAAGAAAAATTGCTATATCTTTTCTGAAAAAAAAAAGGGAGCAATGAAAAATTCATCGCGAAAAAAACACCGTCAGTTGGATAATGGATAATCATGTAATCATGGCATTATGCAACATCAGATTTATATACAGTCGCCATACATTGAAGTATAGGACAGCGACCGCGCTGCAATTCAAGAGAATTGACTATAGGGCCAATCGAATTGCAGGTCAAGTAAGAGGTACTGTGGCCGTCTGTCTTCTCGTACAGCGCTTGAAGATTCGCATAATTTACTAGCTAGGATGCAATAAATGAGAAGGAAACTAATCTCTCTCTCTCTCTATACACACTAAAAGAGAAGTTGTGCAATGACAAAAGACAGACCGCTACAAGCAAGAACCTCCGGTATCCTGTCGATTCCATGCCTTGACGACTTCACAGCCAGAGCGCCAACTCTTAGACGATTAACTGAATGCCATACGTAAAGTAGAGGTCTTCAGTGCGACTTACCGTAGCTTGACACCTCAAAGTCATTGATCTATGCTATCTAGACATTGGGACGTATTGCACTGTTGCTTAATCAAAGGGCATTGCCTTTATACTTTTTTTGATGTCTTCAACATTGCTTTCCATACACCTGTGTGACTGTTCCACCTGCAAGGTATGAAAGGGGGTATTTTCGTATGACCAGTCAAGCCACGTTGTCGTAAATGCATGTTGAGCAGCGCCTCCACTGTCTACGCAAGCTGCATACCGTACTCAACATCTCAGCTTCCGTGTACTCTGTACAGACATCAAAACGAATGTCGATCAATCACATAACTTGCGCGTCCCCGGCGGGAGTCTGGACTGTGGGGAAGTACCTCTAGTGTAATCCACGAAGACAAGGAGAAAAGCCCTAGAAACAAACACGAACCAATAGCATCTGTTGGGAAAGAATAAAGCCCGCTAACGGACTCACTATCGTCGAACAGGTATAGAGTGTGTACTATTTAAGCTACCAGCGTAACGCGCGTCTTGATGTCGATCTCACGGGGCAGGCCAATGGGCGCCAATTCGGGGCTACAAGGGGAGAATTGACGAATTGCCTAACCCCAAAAATAGGGCAGTTGTCTGACAGGTTCAGCGGAATAAGCAGCGCGCTCAGCCTGAAAGTGGGGACGAGGAATCATCCTGGCGGTGATGATCGACGCTGCCGCGCAAGATGCTGTGGAGCTGGTTGGCGCAGCACCAATGGGGACATACAAATTTCATTGTTCATTAACATTCTGGTTCTATGGAATTGCTTGATGTTGGTAAACAGGTACATACGATGCAGAGATGACAATCGCCAGAAACAATAGTATGAGGAGGAAGCATGGAGTCAGGTCTGAATTGACAACTGCTAGCCAATTGCAAAGAAATATCCACAGAAAGCCTCCAGACCTGGGACACAGCAGATGTGGAGATATTCTCTCGCACCGCTGGAAGTCTGCGGATCCTATAATTGACTACATTATCAGATTAGATCAGGCAGGATCAGCAGGCACCTCGCATTCAAGTCGTCATTCTGGATGACGGGATAACAATCTCTACTCGCATCAATTTCGAATCCGCCTGCTACAGCACACTGCAGGTGGAGATGCTGACGAAAAGCATGACGAAGCAGAGACAACGCAATATCGAGACGAAATGACAGAATCATGCTCAAAATGGGTAAATGGTATACACCTTCGCAACTATAAAGAGGGAGAGAAGACACGGGGGATTCGCTCCATTCATCTACTCAACTCACTCAACACATCCATTCGAACTTCACTCTGAGAAAAACCAATCTACCATTGATACTACCTTGTCTTCAACATGAAGGTCGGCGCTCTGGTCTCAGCTTTGATGCTGGCAAGCCTTGCTTCGGCTGCCGCGGTGCCGCCGAATGGTGGTGAGTATCCTCCGCTTCGTTGCAAGAGTATTCCCATTCCCAATGCTGATTTCCTATCTGCAAGACCACCACCACCCTCCGCCTCCGGCTCTGACTGAGACGACAACCGACAAGCCTCTGCCCCTGCCGACTGACAAGCCCAAGCCTCCTCCAGAGA